TCTTGTGCAGTAAATACATTTTCTGCACAAGAATTAAAACCTAAAGATGACCTAAAGATGGTAGTGCATAGACTGGTAACATCAAGGCTGGATTCTTGCAATGCGCTGTATTGTACATTGGACTACCAAGCTTCAGTTAGTTCAAAATATGGCAGCCAGATTGCTTACTGGGATGCCCAGGAGTGATCATATTATACCAATATTAAAATCACTCCACTGGTTGCCTATTAGCTTCTGGGCAAGGTACAAAGTGTTGGTGATTACCTTTAAAATCCTACATGGTTTGTATCCATGTTACCTACAGGACCTCCTCCCATATAATCCGCCCCATACACTCAGGTTCTTTGGCAGACATTTACTCTAGTCAGCTAGGATTAGGTTGGCAACTGTCAACTGAGAAGCTGAGAGGGTATGACTTGTCCAAGATCAGCCAGTAGATTTCCATGGCCCAGTGGGGATTTGAACTTTGGTTTCCAGAGTTGTAGTCCAATGCTCAAACAACTATACCATGCTGGCTCTTTCCAGTTTATATTCCGGAATATAAACTTTGATCTTCTCCAGCAATGATGCCACAGCTTCAAATCCATGCTTTACCTGTTTGTGCAAATCATTTAATGGCAAAAGGGTGGTGGCGAATTTGCTGAATATATTGCAAGTCCAGGCCTTCTAAGACTCATATGGTGGTCAGTGCGCTGTTCTGGACAATGATTTTCAAACAAAGAAGCTCCAAGTATTCTTGAGTTTTAACTCCCCAAACCCATGACCATTGCCCATGCTGGCTAAAGTTTCTGGGAATGAAGCCTAACAACTTAACGGAGATAAGAAACACAGCAGAAAACCTTCTCAGTGGCTGCCTCCAACTTATGGAAATCTCTTCTATAGGGGGCTAGGTTGGGCTCCATTCATCCAGCAGGCTTCTTATTGAGTCAAGTCTTTGACTACTAACTGGACATTGCAGAAGGTCTTTGACTACTAACTGGACAATGCATCATGGCCCAAACCCTGACCCTGGTTCTGGTGTGAGAAGTCTAGATGATGTTCTGCACCAGAACTAAAGTAAAATAGCCTTAAGATGCATGAAAATAACTTACCTGTTATTCTGGATCTTTCATGTGCTTATTGTTGAGTGCCTTGTTCTGACCTCACAAGTGAGTGACCCAGGATACTCCAGGATTCTCTTGGAAAAGATATCTAGTGGCTTCTTCCAGTTGAAGCTACTGTCTTATGGCATTCTTTCTTTCTTTTTTTTAATTAATAATTTTTATTTAAAAAAACAACATATAACATAAAACAATCAATGTACATTCAACAAACAAAAACAATTACATAAACATATAAAAAGAAAAACAATAACGTAAACACATTTAAGACTAACCATACAATAACAATTACACCACATTAAATCTAAAATATCTAACCAACTATATATTCACATGTATAAGAGTCTTCCTTTTCTCAAACTACCAGATTATTCTTTAACAATATTTCTTTGTTCTTCCCGTACAATTATAGTATATATTGTCTATATTTCTTATCTATAATATAAATCAAAAAAGAAAAGCATGTATATTCTTTAACAATTTCTTGTATTTCAAGCTTAAATTGCTTATTTGTCTACCTCCGTACAATATATATTTATCTATAACCTAACATTATGTATAAATCCATAACATTCCTATAACATATACCCAGAAAATTTACAACCACATAGCTATAATTTATCCATTCAGTACCTCCCTTTTACTAACAATGAGAGGTCTATCACAAAGTTTCCATTTACTCTGGAATTTAACTCCTTAATCCTATTGTCCATTGTTTTCCCCAATTTATTTCCAAATAATCTATGAAAGGCTTCCATTTATTCTCAAACTCTTTTATAGATTTTTTTTTTGTAACAACTGAGTTAACATATCATTTTCCATTAAATCATAAATTTTCAAAATCCAGTCTTTTAAATCTGGGATTTTTTTGGTTTCCATTTAGATGCATATATTAATCTTGCAGCCGTGGTTATATTAAAAAGAAGAGGTCCATATTCTTGCTCTAATTGATATTCCTGATTAATGCTTAAAAAAAAAAAGATCCGATGAGGTATCTTTTATGGCATTTTTTCATTGTATTGTTTCATCAAAATTCCAAGGTAAAACAATTTTTGTCTCAAATTCATAAATCAATAACTAAAACATTAAGAATATATATATTTAAAAATAACCTAAAATGGATCTTTTAGGAATCATGGAAGAAAAGCTGGAAAGGAAATATTGTAAAATCATGGGTTTTTTAAAAAAAATATGATAATTGCAGCAAGAACAATTCATGCAAGAAAATGGAAAGAGGAGCCAAGCCCAGAAAAGTCTGGATGGTTGTGGAAAATGTTGGATTATGTGGAAATCGACAAGCTAGCCTATTTCTTAAATAGAAAGATTTAAGAAAGAGTAGTCAGGAGTTTTAGAATATTTAAGGTCAACTTGGGGATACATAGCAAATGCTAGGAATGTACGAGTAAGAGTAAGAATTGAAATTTAAAAACATGTTTGTGTAAATAGGTAAGTTTTGGAGAAATATAAGGATTACATTTCTAAAAGTAGTAAGAGGACAAACAAAGGGAAGATAAGATAGAGTAGTATTGATACATATGAGTAATAAAAGTGATTAATATGGAAAGTAAATATCCAAAAGGTAAAGATTAGGAAGTCTTTTTTTATCATTTATTGCTATTATTATAATGGTGAAATGTTTTATTACTATTGGTATTGTTATAGTGATATTAATGTTATTTTTATGGGTTTATTTTGTTAGTAGTATGTTTAAGATGTAACTGTGTGCTAAAATAAAATAAAGATTAATGAGGGAAAAAGAAAAAAAGAACTCCAAGGTAAAAAAGTGCCTTTTTTAATACCTAAGACATAAATAAATTACAGCTTGATTATAATACAATGATGGGTAACTTCACTTCTTTTGTGGTCTAACTTCACGGGTAGCTTGGAGAGTTCCTTTTGTAGTAAGGACACACGTTTCATAGTATTTTGATGTTTTTATAGAAAGTAACTAAGCAGTAGATGTGCTATCCAGTTTTGAAACAACAACAACAACAACGACAGGATTACCTTTAAAATATTGTAATGGTGACTAGCTATATTTTGGGGGAACTGTTATTCCAAATAAAAACACAAAAAGTTGTGATGTTAAAACAACAAATTATGGATTTAATGCACAATGGGATGAAATACCATTTCGAAAATAATGAAAAGTACAGCATCCGCCTTCTCAAAGCCCCTTTCTCAGCAGCATCAGTTGCCAAATATATATCAGCAATGTGTGCTTGTGTGGATGCATGTAATCATTTGAGAAATGGTAAAAAATGGAGAGTGATAAAAGTCCAGTCAAGTGATGATTTTGAGTTGTTGTTGGTTAATCAGACAAGTTGGCGGAGAACAAATATTTGCCTGTTGCTGCATTCACAGCACAGAGCAGGACATAGCAATCTGGCAGATAAAGTAGTTATTTTTTTAAAGCCTTTGAACCAAGTCATCTCAATCTGTTTCGTGACAGCTACCAAGTCACAGAGTGAGTTTTGCAGCTGAAACAACAGTGGAGCATCATCTAGAAAATGTTAGCAAACAAAGAACTTTCACTGCTCATTAGTTGAAGAGCTGGGGATGAACAGCAGGGTGGCTGGATGTTTTCCAATAAAGATATTTGACTTCTCAAGGCTGCCCCTTGTACGGTTACATATATCTATCACACACAAATGCATCCTGCAAATGGGATGGATCCAGATCTTTTCCCCTCCTCTAATGGAACATCCCTGGAGGACAGGAGGTGGGAGACATTTTTCACTTTGGCCAAAATTTAACCTTGGGGTTGTGTGGGGTAAATCATTCTATTTGGAATCATGCATTGATTGTACTGCACAGATGTTCAATGGTGAAGCAGGGCAACTGAAAGC